TATTGCCCTCTCCCTTGGACCTCTTGTTCAGTAACACCATGATGAACTAGGAGGACACTGGACTGGTCCTAATGAGGCAATAGCAAGCTCAAATCATGTACAGCAGCAGTCCCCAACCTATTTTTGCAGTCCCAGGTAGATAATTTTTCCTGGAAGGTTCTCAATCCTGGCATCTCCCCTCCTTTGGAAAGAGACACAAGGATGGCCTTCAGGGGGAAAGCAGCCATGGTAGCCACTCAGGGTTGGCCTGGAATGGGTGCCTGCCAAGAATTCAACAGCCAACATGACCTGGAGAAGAGTCATTGGGAAGTCCCTATCTGGAGAGCAATCTTTGGCCAGACCCCAGAAACTTCTGAGCTGGATGACTGGTGCTCATTTTACTAACTAACTATTCCAGAAAATAAGCCCAGCTTTTCTCACACAACTGTGTGTGTCTACATAGTGGTAGAGTCTGGAAGTGTATCTGGAATAGGTACTGTCTGGAGCAGTCTGGACAGGGCAGTGTCTGGATATGGGGGGCTGAGATTTTCATACTATGTCTTCCTGTGTTTATAACACATATCCTGCTCAGTTCCTAAAGGTTCAATGGGGGATGAATTTTGATGAAAGTTCTTTACCAATGCACAAATTTTTCAAGGTACATATATACAATTTTGGTATATATTGCTCCCAAAATGCCCCTAGCTCCAGCCTCCTGGCCCTGTGTGTTCCTTTCCTTCTCATGACACCTGCACATGCTGTCCCTTGCCTGGAAGGCAGCCTTCTTCTTCCACTATTCTTTTCCTAATTAGCTGCTTATCATTCTTTAGCCTACAAAGCAAGCATCACCTACTTTCCCTGGACACTTCATTTGTAGTCTATGCTCTTCAAATGCTTCTTGTCATGGTTTATGTTCATACATTTTTGTGGGTGGGTAGTTATTAATATATGATGAATAGCACCATAAATTTCATTTGTTAATATATCGCATCAGATAATATCATCTAGTAGGTTTCTGAAAATTAACACTATTGACATTTTGGATCAGATAATTCTTTGTCGTGGGGCCTATCCTTTGCATTGTGGAATATTTAGCAGCATCCCTGTTCTCTACCCACTAGAGCCAGTAGAAACTCCTGGTTGAGACCCACTGATCTAGAACAACTGTTTATAAGAAGTATGGATTTTCAGGACTTCCAGCCAAGATGGAGGCGTAGGTAGACACACTGTGCCTCCTCGAACAACCAAAATAAGGACAGCAGTTCAGAAACAAAGTAACAACCAAAAACTGAAAGAAAATTAAACTGTATGAAATTCTGACAACCAAGGAGTAAAAATAGACACATTCATTCAGACCAGTAGGTGGGGCACAATCGAGTGGCCCAGAGGAGAGGGGTCTGGCACTGGAAGTGGGGACACTGGGCACACAAGGCACCCCAGGAACGCAAGGCGGTACCAGGAGCACAAGGAGTCACCGTGCAGACTCTGGGCACCCAGGCGGCATCTGGCAGACCCTGGGCATGGAGTGGCAACTGGCAGACCAAGCAAGGTGGTGATTGAGAAGCTGGGGATGGTGCGCAAGGTGGCTGGATGACCGTGCAGCAGTCCCACATTTGCGCACAGATAACTGGGGAGCAAGACAGATTGCTCAACCCAGGGTCTTAGCGCTGGGAAATAAAGCCTCAAAACACCAATTGAAAACACTTGTGAGGTGCAGGGAGAGACTCCCACCCTTACAGGAAAGTTCACTGGAGAAACCCACAGGGTCCTAGAATGCAAACAAGCCCACCCACATGGGAATCAGCATCAGAAAGGCCCAATTTTCTTGGGGGAAGTGGCAGAGGAGACTGAGGTGCAACAGAGAGCAGAGCAAACCACCATTTTTTTCCTCTCTGACCCTGCCCCCACATGCAGCATCACAACCCACTATTGGTTGCCCGCCCTGGTGAACACCTAAGACTCCGCCCCTCATAAGTAACAGATATGAACAGACCAAAACATGGCTCAAGCAGAAAAACAGCTCAAAGCCCCAGAGCCAATACTTCTAAGTGAAAAAGAGATAGCCAACCTATCAGATGCACAGTTCAAAACACTTGTGATCAGGATGCTCATGGAACTGGTTGATTTTAGTCACAAATTAGATGAACAAATGAAGGCTAAACTAAGTGAAATGAAGGGAAATGCACAGGGAACCAACAGTGATGGGAAGGAAACTGGGACTCAAATCAATGGAGTGGACCAGAAGGAAGAAAGAAACAAACAAACAGAAAAGGATAAAGAAAGGAGAATTCAAAAAAATGAGGAGAGGCTTAGGAACCTTCAGGACATCTTTAAACGCTCCAACATCCGAATTATAGGGGTACCAGAAGAGGAAGAGGAACAGCAACAAGTGGAAAACTTATTTGAACAAATAATTAAGGAGAACTTGCCTAATCTGGCAAAGGAAATAGACTTCCAGGAAGTGCAGGAAGCTCAGAGAGTCCCAAAGAAGTTGGACCCAAGAAGGAACACACCAAGGCACATCATCATTACATTAGCCAAGATTAAAATGAAGGAGAGAATCCTAGAAGCAGCAAGAGATAAGGAGACAGTTACCTACACAGGAGTTCCCATCAGACTGTCAGCTGATTTCTCAAAAGAGACTAAGCTTACAGGCAAGAAGGGGCTGGAAAGAAGTATTCCAAGTCATGAAATGCAAGGACCTACATCCAAGATTGCTCTATCCAGCAAAGCTTTCATTTAGAACGGAAGGACAGATACAGTTCTCAGATAAGGTCAAGTTGAAGGAGTTCATCATCACTAAACCCTTATTTTATGAAATGTTAAAGAGTCTTATCTAAGAAAAAGATAAAAAACATGTATACTAAAATGACAGCGAACTCACAGTTACTAACAACCACACCTAAAATAAAAACAAACTAAACAAACAACTAGAACAGGAACAGAACCACAGAAATGGAGATCATATGGAGGGTTAGCAACAGGGGAGTGGAAAGAGGAGAGGGGAGGAAAGTACAGAGAGTAAGTAACATAGATGGCAGGCAGAAAGGGGGAGGGCAAGAATAGTGTAGGAAATGTAAAAGCTAAAGAGCTTCAGGCACATGGACATGAACTAAAGGGGGGAATGTGGGTGGGAGAGGTTGTGCAGGGTGGAGGGGAATGAAGGGGGAAAATGGGACAACTGTAATAACATAATCAATAAAATATATTTTAAAAAATTCCAAAAAAAAAGAAGTATGGATTTTCAAAGGCAGGTTTCCTAAGAGCCCTTTACTGAAACACTGATCTCTTTCTAGACTAGCGCTGTCCAACAGAAATATAATGTGAGCCACATATGTAATTCTAGTAGCTGAAAGAAAGTAAAAGAAGCCTGGGCTAGTGTGGCTCAGTAAATTGAGTGCTGGCCTGTAAACCAAAGGGCCACTGGTTTGATTCCCAATCAGGACACATGCCCGGGTTGTAGTCCAGGCTCCCAGTATGGGGACTATAAGAGACAACCACACATTGATGTTTCTCTCCTTCTCTTTCTCCTTCCCTTTCTGTCTCTAAAAAAATTAAATAAATAAGTAAATACAATCTTTTTAAAAAATTAAAAAAGAAAGTAAAAGAAAAAACAGGTGAAATTTAAAAATATATTTGATTGAACTACTATATCCAAAACATGGTCATTTTAGCATGTAATCAATATAACATAATTAGTAATGAGATATTTTGCACTTTTTTCTGCCAAGTCATCAAAATGTAGTGTGTATTTTTCTTAGTTAGGACTAGCCACATGTGAAGTGCTGAATAACCATATGTAGCCAGTGACTAATGCGTTAGGAAGCAATGGGAGGGTAGACCCAAGCTTTATCAGAGGGCCTCGCCTGGCTCACCCGTTGGGTTGTTACCAGATTGCATCTCCATCCCTCAGAAGAGCCATGCACAGCCCTTCTTTACCCAAAGGGGCCCACAGGTTATACTGCATCTTGAGCATCCCTTTAGTGGGGGTGACCTGATGGCTCTGAGTACATCCTGGAGGTCCAGCTTCTTCCCAGTCATTTAGGGCCCTGCGACATGCTAATGAGATGGGTGTTGTTGCCTGTGCCTTCACAGGTGTTGGAGGGTCCCTGACACCCACACTGGGTGAGACTCACACTGTTTCCAAGCTCCCCAGGCAGATGTTCCACTCACTTCCAAACCACCTTCACACATTGCTCACAAGGAGGCTCAGCCCTCCACAAACAGCGACCACCTGAAAAGACACATTCTATTTTCTTAAGAGACAGATGTTCTCATCTAAAACAACACTTGTCCTAGCCAAGAAGATGCTATCCATAAGATGCTGTCTCTAGCTCCAGGGCTTGTCCTGAGTCTCCAGGCCACCCTGTAGAGACACTGGGTGTCTGGGGTGCTAGTCCAGTTCTGAAGGATCACCCCTGCAAGACCCTCTGACTCACGGATCTCTTGCTGTCTCTGGATCTGTCCTCCCCTCTATGTCCCAACCAGTCTCAGAGGTCATCTCCAGGCCACACAGTGTTCCAGGGGAGTGCCTGACCCCAGCTGCCTGAGGAATTGCTTTTCTCAGGCTCTACAGAGCAGCACCCCCAGGCTGCTGAATGAAGACTCTCACTTGGACTTGGCTGACTCCAGAAGCTGGAGTATTGCTTTCCTAGTGAGAGACATTTTTATTTTGACTGTTGGGACAAATCTTAAAAATCAAGCATTTATTTCCCTTTTAGTAAAGGAACAAAGTTTCTCCAAAGTTGTCACCTGGTCACTTTGAGCAACCCATGGTCTCAGCACATCACAGAATATGAGGTGAAGCCTACATACCACTGGGGCACTAAGACAGCCATCGCCCCTTTGCAGTTTCAAGTCTGACTCCCACTGACCCCTGGGTCCTTACTCCCTGTTACCAGGATGCCTCCAGAAGGCCTGCCCCATCTGACCAGGAATGTGGCAGCCACACAGTGTCCACACACATTGCCAAGAGAGTCACGCACAGTGTGCCCAGATCCACCGCACGAAGTTGGACTTACCCCTCCTGGCTCGCCTGATCCTTGGGCTCAGCATGTTCCTGCAGCCACCCTGCCGGAGTCACTGGGCCGATCATGCTGTCATCACTTCCCTTTTCTCTTCCTCTCACCCAGCTGCCCCTCTTGACCCAGTGGCCACTGGCATCACCATCGAGGCTCCCTGGGCTCCATCTCCTGGCAGTTGCCAGCTTGCCTCGGACTACATAAATCTCAAGCTCTATTTATTCATTCCAGAATTAATTCTTATTCAAGAGAACCGTCGAGAGGTTCAGTAACTTCTGCTAATCAATCAATCAATCAATCACTGGACCAGGGCGGGGCAGCTTGATGTTTTCCCCAGCGGCCAGGGTGCTCCCGGCTTTGAGCTGAGTTCAGCAGACTACGGGCTCTCCTCCCACGCCCTTGATGGGCGTGTGCAAGGGCGGGTCCAATTGGAGAACTGGAAGATCCGTCCTGGCTGGGGCGTTCCTGGGCTCGACCCGCCCTCTGCTCTGGGAGTGCTAGCCTGGCTGCGCTAGAGACTACAAGAGGCTGGCTAGCCAAGGTGGGGGTGGGGCAGGAGTGGGAGAGTGCTGGTGTTGAGAGGTTGGCGGAGATTCCTTCAGGCCAAGGACCCCTCCTGGGCTTGTCCAATGGGACTAGCAATGCCCTATGTTTCTTCCCAGAAGGTCCCAGGAGGCTGTTCAGGATCTCAGAGTTCCAAGTGTTTGTTGAAACACAGGTGTGTCTAAGGACAGTGCAGCCCTGCAGTGTTCAGATCCTCAGGAGACTGCATCAGAGAGATGCCTGTTAGGAATGGTAACTTTCTCTGCTGCCTTAATAATGTAACTGGAATAGAATGAGTGTGAAGCATTTAGTTCAGCGTCTGCACACATAGGATCTGAAAAACTGTTCACTGAGTAGTGAATCTCTGCTAATTGCAGTGTTTGTTTAATATTAGTATAATTTAAAGAGTATATAATGGGGCTTTTGGGGAGGGGCTCAACCTCAAGATCCTAAAAATTGCCAAAGAAATGCAATCACAGTAATCACTATCATTTATTAGGTACCTATTATGTGCCCTGTGTAGTGTTTTATATTCAATATCTCATTTAATTCTTAAATTCTCTGAGGCAGGTGCTCTTACCAGGGCTTTTCAAATGAAGAAAGTAAGGCACAGAAAAGTTAAATAACTTGAACAAAGTCACACAATACTGTCCAGGTGGGTGTCTGAATCCAGGGCTGTGTGTCTATAGTCCATGTTTTTCCATGACACCAGTCTCACTAAATACCTGAATTCCAACCACCTCATGTAAGCAGTTCCTGGCTTGAGAGCATGTTGGATGGTGAGAGACAGGCTCTGTGCCCCTGAAAATCACCCCTGTGCCCTGGTAGGCATTTGAGCCTGGGGTTCTGTTTTTCAGGCCTGGGTAATGTGGAATCTTTTTAGGCCAAGGGATTTGAACAACAATCTCTCTGCTTTTAACAACCATGATTCCTCCCTTATCCTTACAGTGTCCCTATGTCCACTGATCCCCAAATTTGATATTGGTATGCAATCAATTCTAGCAGCTGGAGGGGAAGGGTGCCCATAGGCTGGGGGTCCACAGGGAGCCATTGCAATAGTCCTTACTAGAGATGATAGGGTCTGCACAATGGAGAGCAGAGGAGGATTAGACAGGTTAAGGACTCACCAGGATGTGGTGGCTCAAATGACAAGGTTGAAGGGAGAGGATCTCTCCCTTTCCAGAGTCCATGGAGACAAAGCTGTGTTATTCATCATCAAGTCACTTATTCTGGTCCTCAACCACTCCTCAGAAAGTTTGGATGTTTCTTGATATAACATCCAAGGCCTCTCATGGTACTGTCCATTCCTGCCTCTGTGACCTAGCTCATACTAATGCTACATACAGTTATATTCACACAGTGCCCCTGGTCCTATGTGCTCTTGTATGCATAGCCCTGCTCATATGTGCCTCTGTGCCTTGGCATGTGTAATTCCTTTCACTGGAATACTCTTTTCCATACTGTTTCAACTGTGTGAACCAGATCATGTTGAGCAATATTTCTGTGAAATTGTGCTGATTCTGCCACCAAATGCTTCCCCAGGGCTCTTATCCCCAGGGCAGCCCCTTAGACTGCCCAACACCTCTTCTTCACTCCCAGCCCTGAGCCCAGGCTAGACACAGGCCAGGAGCCCCATGAGGAATATTTATTTGATGGGCTGATCCAACACACTTCACTGAATGACAGAATTGCACTCCTTTTCATTTTAGGACAGTCTGAGGCTGGGTCAGGCTGGGACAGAGGCCACCTGGGAGTGGGAAGGACATAGAGCTGGAAAATCTCATAAAGACATCAGGGTCACAGGGTGAGGTCCTGTGGCCAGTGACAAGGTCTTGAGCAATCTTACAGGCCTTGAATAATGCAGCCTGGACCACTTTCTCCAAGCTAGAGGCAGGAAAATGCCCTGAAGACTTAGTTTGGGTCCTCTCACACTTGTGGTTAAGAAATCACCCACAAGTGCTTTTTCTATGCAGCTGTTTACCCCCATGACATTAAGTCACTTTGTCTGCTTTTCCCAGGATCAGCATTGGAATTGGACAAAGCTACAGAGGCTCTGGGCTTAAACCCAGAAGCAAAGCTGGGAAAAGGTCAGGAGCCAGTCCAGACTGCACTCCAGAGTGGTGGGTGACATGGAGGGGGGCAAAGAAGCTCTTTCCTTCTTTCTGCCCTTAGATCAGTTCCCAGTACTTCTCTGTACTTCCCTTCCTTGAAGGGAACCCTGAGCCACTCTGCTGTGTGCCACACAGGGATTCTATGGAGTTTGCAGGCCTTATTTTTAAGCTTCTGAAAACGTTGCTCAACTTGGACAACTGTCTGGGCTCCAGATTCAATTGGGCAGTGCTTAGATAAAGATTTTACTCTGCTACAAAGTCTCACTGTGGGTTTCTCAGAACGCGGAGCCTTTTATTAGAGCAGGGGTGCCAAACTCATTTTTATCAGGGACCATATCATCCTCATGGTTGCCTTCAAAGGGCTAAATGTAATTTTAGGACTGTATAAATGCAACTGCTCCTTAACAGTTAAGTGAGGCTCAGCACTGCTGCTGAGTAGAAACAAGGTGCCAGGCTGGATCAAACAAAGTGGAGGGCCAGATTTGGCCCACGGGCCTTGTGTTTGCCACCTGTGTGTTAGAGTATGTGAAACCAGCAGTGGGCCTAGCCCTGCCATAAGGGTGTGGGATTTACTCAGGAAACTGTGAGAGGTGGCAGGAAAAATTCCAGCCCATGATGCCTGACACTCTGAGCCAGGCAGGGCCCCCCTGCTGAGTGCCTGCCTTTCAGAGGCTGAGAGGACAGAGGGAATTATGACCTCACTAATAGGTTTCTGGGTCCTGGGAACATGAGATACTTAGGTTCCAAGGAGCTATCGCCTTTCCTCTGAAGCGGATGGGCGGGGGGCAGCGACCCAAGTTACAGCTGATATTGACCAGCCCAGACTCAAACAGCAAACCCTGATCTCACATGGGTCCAACAAGGAAGCAGGTCTGAAATGATTTTCCTTCTCTAAGAGTCAGATTTTAGAAAATGATGAATCACTACTTTGCTTAGTTTTGCATTATTGAAAAAACAAATCTTGTCCCTTGTGAAAACACCTGCTTGTTGTGGAAAGGCAGGGACTGGAACAGATGGAAAGAATGGAAATTTCCAAAGCGCCTTCTCCTTCAAATCTCTCAACAAAATCAAGATTCCTCCTATGCTTCCCTCCTGTGGGCAGGCCAGCTGTCTGTGGGCATGTGGCTTCCATCTGCTCTTCCAACCCTTTCCCCCCGCCCTCTGCTTCTTTAATCTCTCCCTCTCTCACCCATTCTGTTCTCCAAGTTGACTAACACATACATGTCTTCCTTACGCTCAGAATGACACCTTCCCTTTACCTCATTTGTGTGGTGAAAAGGAACTTGTTTGAGGCAGTATAACATCCAAGTCCTTCCTGTTTTGGAGCAATTCCTCACCATGAGGAACAAATTTGCTCTGTCCCTGCACATGCCCCTGCCTGGTTTTGATTTAATCTTGAGTATGTCATGAAAAGTCTGAGAGATGGTTTGAATGGACTTCTCAGAACTAGTGGCAGGGACAATGTCCCACATGATGACTGTGCCTTCCAGCATGGAGGAGATTTTCTGACCATGCATATCTGAGAAGATGATCCTTATGACTCTTGCTTTTTAGGCCCTCTGTAACTACCATCATTCTTGTCCATTTTCCAAGCTTGGTTTTCCAGCTTCCAAAGGAATTTGTAAATCTCTTATAAACTTCCAGTAACTTCCTCTTTCTGGCTTTAGCTGATTTGAGTTGCCTTTCTGTGACCTCAAAACACAGAATTCTAATACCCATATCATGCTTTTCAGCCCATGTTTTCATATTCCTCTTCTCTCTCACTTCCTAATCTTTCTAACTCAACACTTGTCCATTTTCTCACAGATGGCATTTCCTTCCTTATTTCCCCAATTATGCCATTAAGCTAATCATTCTATGTCTCAGACTGGAAATCACAGGCAATCCTTCCAGACCACGATTCCAGCCTGTCATTGTATTTCCTGGGTGAGGCTCTTGTTTCTTGTTGGCCATGGCTGACAGTAATCTTAGCTCATTCAGAAGGGACTGATGGATGAGGCCCTCTTGCTCTGGCAAACACTTCTTTCCTTCTAACCTTTATTTCAACCTCACCTATTGCACAGTTCAGGAGCCTAGGTGTCCTCTTTGCCCTACATGGGTATGTGGTACACACTTACTGCTTTACTTTAGGCTGTAGTGGGAGGACATATTCAAACTAAGGGCAAAATTATCCTTTATAAATGAAGGGGCAACTAACACATTCTCATATAAACAAAAATTTAGACAAATTATTGCTAGCAGACCTGCCCTATAAGAAATGTTAAAGGGAGTCCTTCAGCCTGAAATGAAAGGACACTAGATAGTAACTCAAATCCATATAAAGAGATGAAGAATACTAGGAAAAAAATGATATATAAGTATTTAAGACATTATTAATGTATTTTTCTTCATAATTTCTCTTTTTCTTACCTGATTTAAAAGATAATTTTGTATGTTGATGAGCACACAATGTGCAAAGATGTAATGTATGATGCTAGGGTAAGTGGGAGAGTGACTAATAGAGATACATAAGAAAAAATTTTAGGACTTCCGCCAAGCTGGAGGCGTAGGTGGATGTGCCGTGCCTTCTCACACAACCAAGTTTAGAGACAACTAAATATTAGCAATAGAAAACACAGCCAGAACAC